CTCTTTTCGCAAACTTTTCAAGCACAGCATCGTCCGAGTGGGGCACGTCAGATCCCCGGTCCCATTCGAGCTCCTGTTGCTCAGAGATGCTTTTGCTCAGTTTAAGTCTACAGAAAGTAGTGCGAGAAGGAAGGCCGCAAGTTGTCGAACCTGCAAGAACGAGACCATCCACCTACTCAGGCGGTCAGCCCTAAAATCTCTCTGCCCTCAACACTGCATCTTCACCTTCAACAGCAGTCTCCGAAAAATCCCTTCCTACATGCGAAATGGACCTGCTTCACCATCTGTGGATAAACTGCCAAGGCGAAGAACTTCCTGACATTTTGAAATATGCTGGGTCAGTTAGGATTCAGAATGGGAGGGGGAATGCTCACGCATTGGGGCTTCGCGAGTCGAGATCTACCGCAGTTCGACTGCTTTAGAGGGTTCAGGATTTAGAGACCATCGGTTTCTTCGAGATTGAATCTGAAGATCACATGGGTCGTTTGCTTTGCATGATGAAATCTGCGTTTATCACGTTCTGCTGTGTAGGGCTGCAAGGTGAAGCGTGTTCAACATATCCTGAGCCACTCGGTTATTGTTGCTTGCGTTGACATATCACACCCGGGCAGTCAACCCCAGATCCTGAACACGTCACCGGCCTCTGGGACATCTGCCAGGCCATGAAATTGTCCACCGGCTGATCCACGGGCAGCAGAGACAGAAGCCTCGGTTTGAGGGCTTCTCGGCTGCGTAGACAGGTCTGGAGTGCAGCTCGCTCCTTTTGCCTAAGCCTCCTGCTTTTGTGCACCCTTCGGCCACAGGACGTAGGCCACCGTCCTCAAAACTGGACATTGGCTTGAGGGCCAAGTTTCCAGACTCGTACGTCTGTGTAGATTGTAGAGCTCCAATGGGAACCCGTTGCTTTTTGCGAAACGCCAGCTTGCTTCGAAGACCCTGGCGCCCGAACTCCGGCTTTCACTTCGGCCATGCCCTATGTCTACGGCAGCTGGAGTTCAACCCCAGTGACAGTGACAGAGAAGAGGATCCTTCAAGGCCCTTTTTGGGCCCTGTACTGTGGTTTCTTCTTAGGCTTTAGGCTTCAGGATCTCTAGACTTTGCAGGTCTTTGGAATCGGGAACCGCGATAAACCCTGGTTCCATCCATGACTACGACCCTCTCGTGGCTTGGCTTCGAGTTTCCAAGCGAGCTTTCCTGAGGCTTTCACTGGGCACCCGGGGCGCCGGCGTCCAAAGGTATTCTGCCTCGTATAACCCAGGAGCTAGTCGCTGCCTCGACACTTTCGTACGGATGTCCACATGCAAGGCAGCCGTGATGCTGGCTTCTTCTGTCGGCATGCCCGAGTGTACACTCAAAAGCTGAAACAGAACAGAAAGAGAGACTCAGAGTGTCGCGCTACAGGGTCACAACGGGACTCAACGGCCAGTGTCTCATGCCTCTGGCCTCCACGGCGCACCTTGGATATGCCCCAGGTACAATGCATCTGCAGACTGCTCCGCGGCTGCCAAGACAACGCGCTTCAAACGCCTCAGCGTTGGATTGTGAGGCTTGCAGTGTCAAGCGTTGGAGGCGAGGGGCAGATGTTCACTGGGCCCAAACTTCAAGAAAGCTCGGTATGACGAAGTATACGAAGTGACTGTCCCGTTCGCAAGGACCAAAGCACTCTGACATCTCGACGCCGCGACACCCTCCAAGTCCGGATCTTCTCCCAAGCCAAGCAGCTTCCAGAATTGCTTTGCTGGTACGGCGTCATCCTGAACCCACTCCAAGGCTTTACGAGTAAGGTTCAAGATGTTCAAGGTTGAGGGCTTAGGCTTCAGATGCATTCAGGCATGAGGGCTTACAAGGCTTACGAAGTGGTCGGGTTGTTGCACGGCATGGCCTCCTTCTCACGATCGGGGTCTGAATGCTGCAATCACCCAGGCATGAGAGTCAGACGTGAAAACAAGGAGCCTAACATCTCGGGACAATAAAAAAAATTCTGGCGTCAAACACAAGACCGGCCTCGAGAATCAGCACCGGCCTGAAAAGCGCACAACACATGCTTGCAGCGGACATAGCCCCACGCATATTCTCCACTTATACACTATATACTGATGAAACACAACGGGCGCATGCATGCACGGTCACGCATGCATTTTAATACACACTTGCATCAATCATAACGTGCCAGTGCATGCATGCACACAAACAGGTAGATCAGAGTTTCTGCTTTCCTAGCCTGTTGCCGGCAGCCGTTCTCAGCCACGCACGCACATGGGACATTGCACAGCCTCCGATGCCAGAGGCTTAGACGGGACAGAAGAGCACAACCGGTCGGAGCCGTGCTACGACGTGGTCATGAAGTCGGCTCTGTCCTTCGCTGCCGCGCCTCGCTCACCTGGGGACATTCGCAGCGTGAATCCTTCCCGGTAGCCTGGCCAGCGAGGCTCTCAAAAGGCCAGGATATGTATGCAGTCGTACAACTCTTAGCACACAGCATACGCCTGCGCGGCCATCATACCTGGAGTTTCGGTCTGTGCTCCAAGATTGCGCGACCTGGCTGTACACAGTCTACTGCCTGATGCCGATCTGAGCCCTGGAAGCTTGATGCTGGGAGCGCGGCATCATGTTGTGGCACCTCGGTGATGTTGAAATATGAAACCAACAGAGCGCAGCAACAACACTCATCCCTCGAGAAGAGCTCAGAAAGCTGTCGCTAGCATGACAAAGACCATTCCGATCATCAGGGCCACTGAACGAGTCCAACAGTTACTCAAGCCATTTACAACCCTTCAGCGATCTGAGGTACATGATTGTGACTCCAACATCATCACCCCAATCCGAAATCCTGCGCACCTTAGCTCTGGTTCTGGTTCTAACACGCTCAGCCTTGAAGCCTACAGTGTGGGCCCGAAGACTAAACTAGACAACGCCTGAACAACCCAAAACGAACTGCATATTCCGACCTCGTCAGCGAGACCGTCAGTGGCCGCAAACCGCTCCCATTGAAGCAGTGCACCAGCCTGCACGATAGAATTGCTTCTGTGTACGGCTTTGAGGTCGTCATTAGGCTTAAGTGTTTTTGGGTTAAGCTGTGACGTGGCTCGTTATTGCACGTGGCAATCAACATCATGTGCATGTGGCCTTCGGCTTTGGGGGATTTATTTCGTGGCGTTCAACCTGTGGATTCGTGAATCGCTTCCCATCTATTTCCTCCAATCTGCAACAACACATTCAAAGAAGATCCACCTGATATATCGCCGCCGTTCAAAACCTATGTGGGATTAGGCAGATGTCTCATGTGCAGACTGAGAGAAAGAGAGAGAGAGAGAGAGAGAGAGAGAGAGAGACGGAGAAAGACGGAGAGAGGGGGAGAGAGAGAGAGAGAGACACGGAGAAAGACGGAGAGAGAGGGAGAGAGAGAGAGAGAGAGAGTGAGGGTGAGGATGAGGGCGAGAGTGAGTGAGTGTGAGTGTGAGAGAGAGAGAGAGAGAGAGAGAGAGACAGAGATAGCGAGAGAGAGTGTGTGTACATGAGTGGGTCAGGGAGTGTCTACAGTCTAAGCGGTGTACGTAGAGCGTGCGTGAGAGAGAGAGAGAGAGAGAGAGAGCGAGAGCAAGAGCGAGAGCGAGAGCGAGAGCGAGAAGAGAGAGAATGTCTGTGTGTGCGTGTGTCTGAAGCAAGCCTTTGTCTGAGTCTCTGCGCGCCGAGCAGACCGACTCAATGTGAAGCTTCGATCAATGTATGATTAGTTCTTTCTGTTTGCTTTGCTTTGCTCCGCAGTTCTTCTGTGTCTCTCTCTCTCTCTCTCTCGTCTCTCGCTTTCATGCAATATTCGGGGGCAGGGGTTAACGAGGCAGGGGTTAACGACACGCACATGGCAAATTCCATCCAGCTTTTGATGTCCGCACTGGTGGCCCTGCTGAATTCCCAAACTCTTTCTCGCGGCTGCTTGCACTGAACTGGGCTGCTTCCTAACGAAAACTTTGGGATTTGGGCCTTTGCTTTGGGGGCTGCTTCAACACAGTGCGTCTTGGCAAACTTTCTTAAGCCCTCCGTGAGTTGTGTGTCTCGCGTTGGAGCGATTCCAATTGATATCGAATTTGGAAGCCTAATATCATTGTTCTCTGCTCGATGAACACAACTAGCCGATTCAAGCCCACGACATGCAGTAGCTAAATAGGGATGTGAAGGGCTCTTGGCGGTGGTTGCAGGGGGATTCACTTCGGCTCTGCAATCAGAACTTTCTATTGTTCAGTTGCCAGCCTCGACGTCTTGAAGCCTCGCAGTGACCCCTGCCACAGAAAGGCACAAACTTGCCAACTCAACAAGCTCTCGCTTTCCAGCACCAGCCGGTGCCAGTAGTGTCGGTAGCAGTCGTCGTGGCAACTGGTAGCAGTAGTAGTAGTAGTAGTAGTAGTAGTAGTAGTAGTAGTAGTAGTAGTAGTAGTAGTAGTAGTAGTAGTAGCTGGTAGTTGGTAGTTGGTAGTTGGTAGTTGGTAGTTAGCAGGAGTGGTAGGTGGTAGTAGTAGTAGTAGTAGTAGCAGCAGCAGCAGCAGAAGTAGTAGTAGTAGTAGCAGGAGGAGGAGGAGAAGTAGTAGTAGTAGTAGTAGTAGCAGCAGTAGTAGTAGTAGTAGTGGTAGTAGTAGTAGTAGTAGTAGTAGTAGTAGTAGTAGTAGTCTCGTCATTTCATAGTGGCAGCACCACTACGACTACTACCACCACTACCACTGCCACTACCGCTGCCACTGCCACTGCTACTTCTACTGCTGCTGCTGCTGCTGCTACTTCTACCGCTGCTCCTCCTGCTGCTGCCTGCTCCTGCTGCTGCTCCTGCGCTGCTACTGCTACTGCTCCTCCTGCTCCTGCTGCTGCTGCTACTACTACTACTACTACTACTACTACTACTACTACTACTGCTACTGCTACTGCTGCTACTACTACTACTACTACTACTACTACTACTACTACTACTACTACTACTACTACTACTACTACTACTACTACTACTACTACTACTACTCGTACTCGCATTTCTTCAAGACTTCCGCTCCTTCCAGGCGATCTCGGCGTCGATCGAGATTAATGACCAATGATCGAAGTGGGAAGCAAGATGCGTCTTCACCACGGAGCGGCTCTGTTGGGGCACGCCTCATCGGACAAAGGATGACAGACCAGATCCTCAGACCGTGACCGACCTGGTAGACGAGTGGGACACATGAAATGAAACTCTTGCGCAAACGTCTGTGTATCAGTGCAGCGACGACGATCCTACAAACTTCCTGCGGCAGTCATTTTTAGAATTCCACAAGGAGTGCCTCTTCCCCACGATGCGCCGTCTAGGTGAAGGCAACACATTCATCCCGCCGTGGATGCCATCAAGCACGGCCCAATCAGCTTGGAATTTTGAGCATGTAGCGACGTCTACATTCACACCATGCACTAGGTCCGCTAGGTTAGGCATCACATGTGGCTTGCCAAGCCTCGTCGAGGTGTCGGCAGTGCTCTTTGCTTGCGAGGGTTCTGCCTTTGGCTCAGAGTTTCAACCGAACCTGACAACTCACCAAGAGAGTTACTTGAGACAAGATGTCCACGAACGGCGACACGTACTTACGGTCATGCGTGGCGGCCTCTTTTCCTTGGAGCTGGCAGCTGAGATCTGTACTGGTCCCCATTCGGGGAGCCGCCTGCCCCAAGGGGCTTAGCTTGGCTTCTGCTCACTCGGCTGTCCTGCAGGACCAGTCGGCTCACGGAGACCACAATACCACGTGCAGGGAAGCTTGTTAGTTTGGTCGACCTACCGCTGCTGTCATTCAGTCAATGTTCTCCGTTTATGACACCTGAATGGTGGATTTTTCACAAGTGACCCGGACGCCTGCGTGACAGTCAGCAAGAACTATGCTTGATGCACACAGAAGGAATCCCTACCATAGTCGGCCCAAAATTGCCTTGTGTTGCACAGAGCCAGCAGTCATCTGAGTCCTCTAAGTCAGCCGCACAGGATGCTCACCGCCGCAATCATGTTTCCACCAGCCGCCTACCGAAAAAGCAAGCGCCGGCTAGTACATCAACAATTGCACATCAAGCAATCAGCTTATCGGAGATGCCCGGCTTGTCAACATTATAATCCGTGCGACAGCTAAAGCTATCTAAAGCTGCTCATCGCCGCTGCCTGGACTCACCCCGAACAAAGCATGAAGCGATAGCCGTCGCTGTGGAATTCAGTCGTAGTCTGCAAGTTCCAACCCCTGAGCCGGCTCCCTGCCTCAAAAGCTTCTTTTGCGCGCTCAGCGGAGAAGCCCATGGCCTGCAACTCGGCCAGGCTGTCCTGTGCCCAGGCGCAGGGTTCGGGTTTAGACTTGAGATTTGGAGTTTCGGTTTCAAGTAGAATGATTCCTGCAAAGACACAAGCTGCGCACAAGGAAGGACAGTCAAGACGATGATGAGGATCCCAGCAGCTTCCGTCTATCTTCTGACACTTGTGACGAAATATTCAACTACAGAGTCGCATGCAATTCACAGTTACGGTTACATACAGTAGCATACAATCCGCCGAGGCCACCGGCCTCAGGCGTCTTGGGGGTTAACTCAATACTCACTGCCTAATAGTCCTGCCTGCAGCCACTTTTGGCACTCCCGCCCCTCCCCCCTACACCGGTCGTGGCACAGTGCCGCTCTCCGGCAAGCCGAGGAGGGCGGCGTGCGTCAAAATTACATGCAGCTACTTACAATCACAGAGGATTACCACTGCACACATTTCCATACAATTGCACAGTAACAGCATTCTTAGACAGGATAGGCGGATAGATGGCCAGGTAGAGACATATATAGCTGCATACCTACCGACCTACCTGGACCTCCCTCCCTCCTTTACCTACATACCTGCATACATACACATATATACAAGTACATATACATTGCATTACATTGCATACATACATACATACATACACAAGCATCTGGTTGGCGGACTATACAGGAGCAAGAGTTCCAAGCATGACGAGTGCTGCAAAGAATGGCCGTCAACTGCTGCACTTTGGAGCCCACTGTGCCTGACTGTCGGCCCCTGGAGACCGCTCGTCACCAGGCAGGTTCTTGGAACCTGCCGCGGAGGCGTGGAGTGTGGTGAGCTTGCAGCGCCTTTCTAGGGCCCTGAGAAGCCCCTAAACTCAAGGACCTGAAACCAAGGGTAGATGCCACAGCCAAAAACGTACGAACTTTCTCAAAACTCTGAAAGCTATCGTTCAGCCCTATGCCCAGCCTTTAGCCAGAATGAGCTGCGGATAAGCCTGCCCAGCTCCGTCGGTGTTGCTCTCGACCTCAGTTCACGAGCACGTGGGAATGAGCTTCGGATGATAATTGAGAAGGCCCGGACGCAGGCCCGTCCGTGCGGGAGAAAATGCGCCCACCCGTCAGAGTGGCACTCTAGCACTGCATAGCAGTCACTGCCCGGCTCGGCTGTTAACGGCGAGTTCATGGTGATGTGGTGTATGCCTGCGCTGGGGATGCCATGGGTCTGGGGTGAACAGGACGGCTCTGAATCTCAAGAGGAGTTTGGCAACACCGGCATGGCCCGAATCTCAACAATGCACAATGCAAAACTCACAGACAGAGTCTAACTTCAGACGCGAAACACACCCTGAACACTCTAGAGCCCCTTTCAGGAGTCAGCATCTGAATCCCGGCAAGGATGAAGCACTGAAAGTCCTGACCTCCAACACGTCGAATCCCCGAACGCCAACTCCAAAGCCAGAAGCCAACACATCCCTAACCTAAAGACCTACACCGCCCCAAACCGACCATACACCCTGGGATTTAACAAGGGAGCTCCTGCCGCATCGACGCCGTAGCCTGAGGCCCCAGTCACTTGGGCACGTCAAGAGTGAGAGCCTGAAGCTACTCCGGGGTTCGGATTTGACTTCTAAGCCTCTGCGACTCCATTTACAAGGTTGCAGTAAAGCTCTCTCGGCCATTCTCTTTTGGTTTGGCGAACAACTTGAATGAAACTGACAAGTCATTCCCAACAAGGCAATGTGCTTTGGGGTTCCGAGTGTACGATATCGAGCCTTGGCTTCACAACCTAGGACCACCTCTTTTTCTCCTGCAGGTCTCCCGTCAGAGGCAGGTATAAGTCAAGATGAACCACTCCACAGTCCCCCTCTTGGCTTACACTCCTGCAAACCAATATATTCAAGCCTAATCTGAAGTTTCCCAGGCTACCAGCTTGACACGGCTAGTTACCGGTAAGTCAACCCTTGTGACCTTTTTCCACGGAGGACTTGGGCCAAGTGCAATCGCGTACAGACATAGCTAAGGACCATAGGAATAGCAATGGAGGCAGGGTAAAATCTACACCCCCCTCGCCGTGCTGCTCGAGCTAAGGCGGATAGTACATGGCTCCAGGTTGCCCTGGGCTTCAACGATTTTGAAGACTTGCCAAAGCGAGCATTTATAAAGCACAACGGGGAAGCCCTGCAGGTCCGAAGCAAATCAAAATGAGGACTCAGCGCCTATGGGTGCGGTTCCATGCATCCCACTCGGCCTGAGTGTAACCTCCACGACGCTGGCGATAGTACTCGTCCCACTGGGCCTGAGTATAGCCTCTGTACATTGGCTCAGGTGCTGTCGTGCGACCGCGTCCCTTTTGGGATGGGCGATTCTGGACTGCAGCCTGGCGATTGCGCTCTGCCAGACGTTCCGTTTGGTCTGTCTGGTTCTGAGCACTACGGAGGCTATCGGTAAGGATTTGCCCGATCTCAGTTGTGATGCCTTCAGTTGTGGTAGCCGACACATAGACCTCGCCGTCGAAAGTCAGGATCCTTTTCGCAGCATCATTCACTGCTGCCACCTCAGCATAGAGTCGCGGAGGGAGGAATGCACCGAGGTAGGTCAAGCCGATGGGGACATCCGCGGTATCATCGATAAACCGCAAGTTCCTCAACGGCTCCACTTCGCAGTGGGCATAATAGACCAACTTCGCAGGCGGGACATTGCCACCACCATAATGGGAGCCGGCACGCAAGTAGCGCTGCTCCTCGCTGCGTCCTGGATCGGGAAGCACAGCGTTCGACAGGTGATCGAATTTCTGCATGTCCTCGAAGTTGCGGCCCTCTTGCATCATCCTCACGTTGAACTGCGCGTCCTTCTCGAAGCGGTCGGACACGGTGTCGAAGTTCAACTTGGCGGCCCTGATCTTTCGGTCTTTGGCGTCACGAATGGCGGCAGCCTCTGCTCTCATCTGACCACGCTTCTTTGGTCCCTCGCCCAGGCCTCTGAGGTCACTCGCAAGGAGATCGTCGATGGGCTTCTGAGCTCCGGTTGCAGCGGTGGCAAGAATGCGCTGGCGAAGTCTCGAATTCTCAAAGACTCGCTTCGTGATCTTTTTAGAGTCGTCCGTCTGGGGAGCCTTGCAACGGAGGCAGAACAGCATGCCATTGGCAACGACTGCTGCGCACTCACGGCATGGGTGTGAGCCAAGTGGGTATGGCTCATCCTCACCCGCATCCGTCGTATCGCCTTCGTCGACTTCAACCTCAACCTCAACCTTGGTTTCGTCAAGGTCGAAGTCCGCGTCCGGGTTATTGCCGATGAGCTTGGAGTTGTGCCCTTGGGCCATCCTCACCCGCACAGGGAATAGCGGCTGGCCCAGGGTGTCCTTCATGGGGACATCAATGCCCAAAAGCCTGATCCGTCCCTTGTTATCGGCTTTCGCTGCGCGTAGCAGCTGCCTCACACCCCAGCGTGCGTTCCGTGCCGTGTTGAAGACCTGGAGCAGAGTGTCAACGTCTGCCCAGCACCCACGGTCAAAGATCAATGCAGGGAAGTCGTCCATTTCATGGCCACGCAGCAGCTTGGTGAGGAACTTCAGGTCACCGTGTTTGAACGTCACGTGCCTGTCTCCCACAATGTCCTCCGGATTGAAGGGCTTCATCAAGTGCTTCTTACCGTTGTAGAAGTACTCATTGGGAAGCTCTGGCACAGTGGCAGCCCCTTGCGGGGCGCTTTCATCGATGAACATGAGCCTTCGCATGGCGTCCTCATCGCGGTCAGACTTCTTAGTCTTCTTGGGAGGCGCTGGCTCAATGACACGTCCAATCGATGATGGGATGGGGTCGACTTGGTCGCCCTCATCCACCAGCTCCACTGTGCCAGGGGTATTGTAGGATACCTTACCGTCTGCGTCCTGAGTGACAATGTCATTGACGCACTCCGCAACAGCACTAACATCAGTGGTTGCACCGATCCTTGGCACATCCTTGCGGATGGCTTTATCCATGGGTGGCCCCTCGGAGATCTTGGTGACGTCGGTTGCGTCAGCGGCATCTGGGGCTTCCCACATCTTGTCCTCCTGGGTGACCGGCATTGGCTTTGCCTGTTTCGGGTTCATGAGCTGGTCCTTCTCCGCACGCCACTGCTTGAAGACATCCTCGAGCACCGGATTGTTGGCACCGGAGCCAGTCTCAAAGTGCTCATAGCGAACAAGCAAAGCCCTGACACAGGGTGTCATCTTCTGGGCAAGCCATTCGCTCCTGCTTGCATTGATAGTGGCATGCAAGTAGGTCTGGAATAACTCGTGGTTGCGAGGGTCTTCACTGGCGTGAAAGCTGTCATACATTTCCAGCTTTTCGACCAAGGAGCTCGCGGTTTGCACTTGCAGACCGCGCTGTCTGAACTCTTCGAACATTGCGGCATTGAAGTCGTTGTAGGCTGAGTGGAGTTGGAACAAGTCCGCCTCCACCTGCCCAATCACCTTCACAAAACCAATGTCCGGCTCGCCCGCGAGGGCGGCTAAAACATCCGCTGCCCTTCTCACTTTCCGGGCGACGGTCTCCGTTGTGACATTGGGATCTCTATAGGCGAGTCCCGGCCCTAGCCGCGTGGGGATGCAGCCCCACTGGCCGGAGATCTCGTTCCCGCACCACCAGCAGATCACGTCGATGGTGTGGTCCGGATAGTTGGTCCGAAGCTCTTTCACATGCTCCTCGACCTGCCAGACAATCCACGCCAAGGTTTTGCCCCAACACATGGTGTAGCGAGTCTGTGCCCATCCCAGCGTCATGCTTGCGATGTTCACTTCCGCATCCAAGTCGGCCTTGACGAACACTCCCCGTCTGTTCTTCTTGCAAAGTGCGGTGGAGCTGTCTGACACGACTATGATGGCTCGCTTGGCCTTGGGGCTCAACCTTGCGGTTGGCTTCAACTTGGCGAGTCCCTCGTCACTGAGGTCAGCCATCTGGCGCAGAGCCACACAGGTTGCGTCGGCATGGGTCAAGGATACCCCAGCCGCGCATTGTGTGGATACGCAGCTGTACGCCGACTCCAAGAGCTGGCTCTCATGATCGGCGCCTAGCGAAATGATATCGTTGTTGAGGGCGGCGGATTGGAGAATGGTTTTCATGGCCTTGGTAACTCCAGCCCTGTCTGCTTCGGAGGTGTTAACCCTGCAGAACTCGTCGCTCACAACGATGGCTGCCATCCTGGGGATCGTAGAAGTCGCTTCGGGCAAGTCGGGAAGATCAGAACCAGCTGAAATTGCAATGGCAGGCGTGCACATAAAGGAAGCCAAGATTTCATGGTCAAGGCTTGCAGTTTGTTGTGTGTTTGTGCACTCGAGCGATGTGTGTGCAAACGAATCATTTTCGAAACGAGAACACGGTTTGTTAGGCCTACCCCCCTCATCGAGAGGGGAACCAACACACCTCAAACAAACCATTGCCTTCTGAGCTGGGAGCTTCAACTGAACCGTAGGCAAGAGGAACTGTGATTGATGTAGGAATTGCTTTTGCTTTTTGTTGAACTTCTGGTACCCCCCTGAAGAGTAGGCGATGAAGGAATGTCGTTCGCCAGTGTAGGGTTGTACACCATGTTTTGTTGAAGGATGCAACAGAGTAGGCTTGCGGTATGTATTGCAATTGTAGCCTTTGTGGTCTTTGCCATGATCATCTGTGTATATTCCCGGTGGTCCCAACTGGCTCGCGCCCTCAATCCACAGTGTCCCCCCTGTATTTTACCGAAGGAGAACGTCAGGTTGTACGATTCTTTCTGATTGTACTTATCCGTGTGGATGCGGGCCTTGCCATTGAAGTTGAACACGAACGAAGTCCATGTAAACCCTTTCGGAGATGATCGCTTTACAAATTCATTCACATACCTGCAAATCCATGGGTAATGTTTTGTGCGGTTGGTGATACCAAAGCACCCACCATGGACCCAAGCGCCGAATACCAAGTATTTGGATATCTTCTCAGAAGCCATAAACGATCGCGGTTTTGCCAATGATGCCTTGAGATTGGTACGAATAAGCCCAGCTAGCTTCTCGAAGGTCTTGAAGCTGTAATCGTTAGCCTCGAACGATTGTTTAGCAAAGTCCTCGACAACCTTTGATGCATCCGGAGCTGCTGCTACCGAAACCTTGTTGTCGACCTCGACCTTCGACTCGGGTTTGCAACCGGCTACGTTCGCGCTGGTTGTATGTCCAATAAGCTTCAAGGCATGCGTCCACTTGTTCTTTTCAGTGAAAGGCTTCGTGAATACATCCGCCACTTGTTCGGCTGTACCAACATTCAGTAGCTTGAAATGCCCAACCTCATATTGCTGCTTTAGCCATGAGAAACTCACCCTCTGTGTCCGATCAGTATGTCGTAGAACACCAGCTTGCCCTAGCAACAAAAGAGTGATAGTCGCCTGGTTATCCTCCATATGTCTAACCTCGAAACTTTCAGGGAGTTGGACACAGAGGCCGTTGATGTCTGCGATTGACAACCCATCCGGTCTAGTGGACCCATAACGAATTTCGTCAAGTTCAGGATCAATACGTGCAACTATCGAATCTACCCTCTCAGCCCTTGGCTCGGCCTTGCGGCCGGCATCTCCACGCCATAGGAAATACCACAAGCTCAGGCAAGGTAGACCTTCGGCACGTAAACCGTGGTTCGCTGCTACAACTTCGGACTCAGTAGAGCTCATTGTGATAGATGTTTGTTTCTTGCTGAAGGCATTGAGGGGGAAGTACGTGTTTGGTCCGACCAAAAACATCGCACATCCTGTAGTCGATTTTGAATCGAATTCGCCCGCAAAGTCGGAATCGCTGAACAACCAAAGTCTGCAATCCATTATGCTGTCACCTATGAAACCGCTCATAGTGACATCAAGCGAAGAGTTTATGTAGCAAACCAACCTGTGGAGTCCCAAGTCGCAATCTGGGCTCCATTTGGTCACCCTCGACGCCAAAGACTGTGTTGCTCTTAGAAGATCCCATCTGGCCATGCGAGCAGCGAACAAAATCTTCATTAGTACCTTACTAGCAATAGGTTGCAAGCGCCCTGCCTTCTCTCCTTCGGAAGCTGTTGGCAAAGCCACACGTAGCTCATGGAAGGGGGTTGCAGCTGGTTTCAGGGTCTTACGCTCTACCTTAGCAAGCTCGCAGTACCGATCAACGCAAGAGTCGAGAAAGTCCTTCATGTCGTACGTGATGCGAGTGACTGGCTTGGTCATTGCACCGGGCTTCTCTTTAACGTCTTGCGACAAGGTAACAAACTTGCTCTGCTTCGCCTCCTTTTTAGCCTCAGACTTGTTACGAACCGGCTTGCCCTTGCGGGCAGCTGCAACTGCCAGCTCGAAATCAGACTGTTCCCGGCCTGCGAGGTCGAAGTAGGTTTCGCCGTCCCACCAATCCTGAAGACAGCGATCGCGCATTTGATTGCAACTGTCAACAACAACTTCCTCCGACTCACCCTTGCGGGTGGCTTTAGCCACCACGGTGTATCTCCGAGGGCCAATCCCCGGGAACATTCTGGCATCATCCTCGTTGGGGACATAAAGTCTTTTGCGAGGATAACGGTGATGTCGGATTGCTATGAGATTCTCAGGGTCAATGTCCCAATAATCTTCTTTTCTAGCAGGAGTTGCAGCTGATGATTCGGGCTCAAACACGTGACGAAAAGGGTGTGCTTCCTTGGGCAGCTTGAGGTTGTGTTCTTCCTTGTGCATACACCCAAAGTATCTACCAATGGCTTCCGGAAGATCCATATCAATGACGCTCGAGATCAAGTCCCATCCCTCCTTGATAGAGTTCTTAGGGCCAGCGAGTTTAAAATCATCGACGTATACCACTAAAAGCAGCTTCTTCTTCGGGTGGTAGAATACACTCTTCCAAATGTCAGTCAATACTGCCTCGAACCCGACTTTCTTCAACTCAGCTTCGCAGTGATGTTCCCAAATCCCCCCTGAATCGGGGTGTCCGTAAAGTGCCAATTTGAGTGGAACAACAGGATCTTTCATGCCCTGCCATGCCTTAGGCCAGCGATTGCGAGGCAACCGTACCCAAGTAGCAACTCCTTGGAACAAGGCTTGGGTGTATGCTTGCTTGGCGTCGGCCTGCTGGATGACGTAGCCAGGTTGTGAGCCGAAGACGTCTAGAATCTTTCCTGCTTCCATGGATGCAGGACTGCTCGACATCTCCGCGAAGAGCGCGTGATCGGCGTTTTCGTCAAGTACTTTGTTTCCCTGAAATACCGAACGTCCCTTATACTTACGATTAGGGTCACCTTCTTTCAGCTCGGCTCCCTTTAGGGTACCAATCTCAAAAACATTGCCAAAGTGAACCTTGGTTTGAGATTTCTTAGCTTCGTTGGCAACCGACTCGAACTCCCTGACTTTGCCTTGTACCCAGCAGCCCTTGTCAACCAATTTCTGCCACTCCTTGTCCATGGCAGCCTGCGCCTTAGGGTTTGATGAAATCTCCTTAGACGACAGGACCTTGGCGACAACAGCATACATCTCGTCTGCGATCTGAAAAAGCTTCTTGTCATATAGCCCTTGAAGTCGTTCCCGATGTTCCTCGCTACACCCATGTAGGACTGGCATTGCAGGTACCACCTTTACGGCTTCGCGGTACAGTGCCTCATTCTCCTCATGTAGCTTCTTCTCATGTTCTGCAATTGCTGTTGCTCTTTGTCTTTTCGACATAGACTTCCATGCAGTATGATCAATAGCGTCGGGGCGGTTCTTGTTGTTCTTTTTGACCAAGCATTCCCCACTCCATGCATAACCATACGGTGGTTCTTGCGCTGCTACTGCTGCGCTGGACTTCAGCTTCTGCTTCACAGAGAACGGAACATCATCAAGCAATGCTGCACGGGAATCAGACTTTGACTCACCCTTGCGGGTGGCTTCTTTCGCGTCCTTCGGCGGAGGATCTTTATCACGATCAGGACCAAATAGCTCTGGGAACATTTCATCCAGGTCTTCGCTAAGTTGTTCCTGAATTGTGGCTTCATCGTATCCCCCCCCTTCCTCCAGAGGAGGATGCGGGTTTTGCTCATCAAGGACATTGTGATGTTGTGCATCAAGGCTTGGTGGTTTATCCAAGGCAGGCTCTTGCAACAAAGGAAACTTAAAGTCACCATCTGGTAGCTCCAGTCTCTTAGTGCGAAACACACGTAGATCTTCGTTTTCCAACGCGGCTTCGATGTTGTGTAGGGGAGCAACAACGTACTCAAGCTTGAAGATAAAACCAGGTTGGATGTGATACCCAAGGAATATACCTTCAATCCCTGTGCCAGAAAACTTGGATCGTTCAGGCTTGCGTTGCTTCTTCGGGGCCCAGTAGAGGACTTTCGCTCCAAAGGGAATGCGCATGCCGTTGAACTTTTCACCGTACCTGATTTCCCACGGAATCTGACCATTGTCAATCCTCGCAGTGATGTTAAGACACATAGCATGATGTTGCGATGCAAGAGGCCAATAGCGATCTGGAAGTCCTGATTGCACTAAATTGGCCCGTGTGCCTTCCAAAATGGTTCTGATTTCTCGCTCGATTACGGCCTTGTTTTCGTTCACATACTCCCTAGAAGTGTTGTGACGAGCGCGAAGCTGTCTGGCCGCAAAGTCAAACTCCAACGCATTGTCGGAATATATAACCTTTACCTCATCATCTGTACCAAGGAAGTGCAACATGTCTTCGTAGCACTGCTCACCAGACTTTGTCTTGGAAGGGTACACGTATCTAAACTTAGAATACACGTCCTTCACAACATGAGCCACGGTTTCATCTTGGAACCCGTAATCCTTGGCATCAGCAGTCACGATGTGATCTACTGTGATGTGGTCACCGAACGATTTACTGTAGATTGTAGAGGATCCACCAGATTTACGCGCCTGGGGCGCATACATCTTGGCCCTTTGGCAAATCGGGCAGAACGGATTCTTTGGTCTATGGGTAAGTCGATGTTCCAAAGACACAGCCTCAGCCCTCAAGGAAGCTTCGTCCTTCTTAGACTTTGGCATTGTGTATGGCTCGACATCGCTGTCGGCTTGCGCCTCAACTTCCCCTTCAGGCAAAGCAAACAATGTGATAGTCGCAATAGTCCCTTCAGGTACTTCCCCATAGATACCGTCCAATTCGTCAATGTTGACTATTCCTCCAACAAAGACCACACGTCATCCTTGAATCCCCAAGTAGTCCGGATTCTATACCTCGGGAACTTAGGAGCCGGTGTTCGAAGCGTCTTTGGGAAATGTGCCACCTTAGCAGCGGGGCTGCCGTTGATGACAGTCCAACCTGCCTTTAGCAGTTGACTCGTTTCCACCCCACGAATGGGAGGAATGCAATTCGCCATCTTTTCGATGGGATCTTCTGCCGCGCCAGCTGGACCTTCAGGTTCATGTTCGTACTCTCCCCTAGCTGGTGCGGCGTGCCCTTGCGGGCAGCTGTTTACCGAAAACCCGAACCAGACTTGACAGAGGTCGGTGCAACCTTGCTGCCATCAGATTCTGAGGACTTTGCCGCTAAGCATGCCATCAATGGTCCTCGGTCGCCAAATACGGGGACATTGCCTCGGAGTTGGCAAATCATCTTCTGACCGTCTGGGCAAATGAAATATGGCGCCTCACCCGCTGGCCAGTGGAAAGAGAACCCCTGTTCCATGCACTTCTTTCCTACAGAGCAAACTGCAGGTGTGTTGGGGAGCTCAACGAACTGCAATGGGTTCCTCAATGACTCAATGTAGACCTCATGCTTGGTATCAGCGTCTACTGGTCCGTTAGCAGTGATCAAACTCACTGGGTTGGAAGCAACCTTCTTAGCCTTGCCCTTGAAATGGGCCTCCAAATCAGAGTGACTAATCAGATCTTCCTCGCTACCGGTGTCTGCGATGATTTCGAGGTTTTCACCTGTCACCGCCGCTGCAGCAAGTTGGGGCAGGGGAATTGCTTCTTTGCAGTGAATGCAGAATCCTTCTCTACCCCGACACCTGTAGTTACACTTGACCCGAACCTTAAGCTTCATCCCGTTCACTGCTGATTCCAAGTGACGGGCATTCTGCAAAGCTTCTTCGGTGTCCTCTGGAATTGATGGTGGGCATAGCTCCGCAGACTTGTACCTGAATTCGTACTTGTGCTTGTCTGGTACGAAGCTCCAACCTTCACCTTCAGGCGGGATGTCAATGATTTCTGGCCTTAGGAACTGAACCTTTCTGCTTCGGGGCTTTCCGGCAGGGCCCTTGCGGGCTGCTACTGCGTAGGCTTTCCCAGCATCGGCCGATGGCTCACCCGTGAGGGTGGCTGTGAGGGAGAGACAGCATGCGGCTGGCTTATCCTCACTCTTTGGCCTTTTCTTACTGGGTCGCCTGCGCTTGCCGGAGGGCGATCTCTTCCCGTCCTTGCCAGCCTTATCGCCTTTGGCCGGGACAGAGGGAGCGGCATCCTTGTGCATGAATGGGCAATTCTTACCGTTCTTGCAGGTGCCTTTGGGGAAAAAGATGCAAGGAATCTTGGAGGTGTCCTTCTTCTCCCCACCTTTACCGCCTTTACCTCCGCCTTTTCTCGAAGGGGTACGTGGAGGTGTTCTGCCCCTTGTCTGTTCAGGAGTAGGCTTCACGTGCTTGTATGGGCACTTATCACCTCCTGGGCACTTCCCACGCTGGAAAGCGTAGCAGGGCTTGTCCTGGCTTCGGCCGCGAGGGGTGTTCGGGGTATCGGAAGGAGCAGGGGCACCGAATCTAGCACCATGAGCTTTGGCGATTGCTGTGCGGTTTTTACGAGTCCTATCTCTTGCCAACAGCTCTTTCACGCATTTGACCAAGTAGTCATAAGTGCGCTGCTCTGTTCCTTCCTTAGCCCTGTCGTAAACTTCCAGATCAAACTTGAGCTTGCTAGCATTGCGAAGCTGCCTAAGTAGAATATCTCTCAGCGTAGTCTCCTCGGGTTGGTGGTTCAACCCCGCGATGACCGACTCCCAATTGTGTATGAAAGTGCTAAGGTCATCACCATTCAACTGCACCTTGAGAAGATCTTCCACAGAGTAGAGGGGACCTGCTTCCTCGTTGGTCTTAAAGTAGTGTTCGAACTGTCTACCACGAACGGCCCTACCAGCAGCTGCCTCAGACTCTTTGTAGTTAATAATCTGTCGTCCAAGATCACCTCTTGCGACCCTCGAAAGCGCCGAAAGGATCTTTGTGTCCAAAGTGAGGAATTTACCCGTGTCCCTCAACTTCTCCGGATCGGCGTCCCTGGAGTAAACCTCTTGAACCCTTTTGAATGCCTCATCGGGTCTGTCGGATGCTGCCCGAACGGCCTCCCTAACCGTGATCTTCCAACTCCTGTAAGTCTCCGGGTTGGGGAAGTCGGGTAGCTTCACCGTTTCGGCTTCCTTAGCCTTGGGTTTGTCGTCGTCAGGCTTCTGGATAACCGACTTGAGTGCTTCAGCGAGAAGTACGCTAGGCTCTTTGTTTTCAGTAGTTTCTGCCGGTTCTTTGTTGTCACTCTGTTCAGCAGCAGATACCGCTACGTTGTGGGCCTTGGAATCCTCAGGCTCACCAATGTCATACCGTTGGGTCCTTCCCAAAACCGTCCGAAGCGACACAGGAATCTCCCTGGGGTTCGGAAGGGTCGGGATCCATGAGTGACTAGGACCCTGAACAAGCGGCGCTGCGGCACCACCTTGCGGTGGGCTTGGTTGAAGCTTGGAGCTCTCACTGGGATCGACTTTCACCGGCACGGCACCACCTTGCGGTGGGCTACTCTCCGCTGTCGACAAGACAGTCCTGAGTGAGTCGACCTCAGCTATAAGCTCCGCATTCCTGTCCTGCAGGTCATCAACCAAGCTATCGTACTGCTGTGCCTCAGAGGTTAGCCTATGGTAGTACTCATTCTCTTCCCATTGAAGCTTTTCCTCAAACTCAGACCCTAAAAAGGCAATCATCTCACTGTGGTTTTCGTCGATACTCGAGCGCAATTCCGCGAAACGGCGTTCATGCTGTCTGTTTTCCGCAGTGAGCGTGCGCGCTGCTGCTTCCAGCTCGGACCGATGTGCATCAAACTGCATGGCCATAGACCTTTCATCATGACTTTCCCTTTGTGCGCGTGCCAGCTGTGCCTGCAGCTCGTTGGCTGATTGTCGTTCTGCTCGGGCGATTGTCTCTAGCACTCGTACTTCGTTGTGTAGCTGTCCCACCAACAGGTGTGTGGATTGGCTCACAAATGCTAGCTGTTGACGATGATTCGCATCCGCTGTTGCCTCTAGGTGTGCAATGTATGCGTTGGCTTCGGCGTACACGTTGTCCAATGCAAATCGATGTCTTTGTTCCGCGCGAAGCTCCAAGGCACTTTGAATGCGGGGGTCATTCAGGAACAAGTTCACCTGAGTATTCTCCTGCAACAAATGCAAGAAGTACTGGTTCGCTTCCTGCTCCTGTCTACCACCAATACCACCGTCACCGTTGTTGCCCGCGGCCGTTGTGAACGGCACGATGTCCATTACGGAGGTAACTACGGCTGATAACCTGAAGTTTCCCAGGCTACCAGCTTGACACGGCTAGTTACCGGTAAGTCAACCCTTGTGACCTTTTTCCACGGGGGACTTGGGCCAAGTGCAATCGCGTACAGACATAGCTAAGGACCATAGGAATAGCAATGGAGGCAGGGTAAAATCTACATAATCAGGACAGCAACAAGTACAGGATGACCCCCTCCTGCTCAAATGGTACTGTAGACAAAGTACTTCCACCTATAGGGCCTGCAACGCCCAGACAGAGCCTACTTACAGCAGTCTCGCAGTCGCATCCCAGGACATGGCAAAGCTTATTACTATGACAGGTAAGGCTTTGGGCTTGAGAGTCCAGGGCAGTTGGGGGGTTCGCAGCCTTCTTTTTCCTTAGCGCGCCTCCATTGTGATCGTGGCCAGCAAAAACCGCGACCACCGTGTCGCTGTGCGAGTGAAGAACTTGCAAGACTTCCTGTAGCAATGGAGGATTTCCAGGCCGCTGGCCGTAGGGATAGGTTTTGCCTAAATAATTCTGTGGTATCACCCATTACCCGGTCCATGCTATTGATACCGCGCTTGTCGTTACTTGGCCTGGGGTGGTTGCTCGACGGCTGAAAATTTCACTGGTGAAACATCCGACTAACTCTTAGTTTGCAATGCTTAGATTGGGTGCATTCACGATCTACTATTAAAGCCACATTCCCTGATGACGCCCAAAAGGCCAAAAACTCCGAGTCCTACAGCCTGGGCCAAGTGCAAATCGGATCCCAAGGCCTTGTAAAGGACCATGAATGAAAGCCCCTGAACTGCGAGCTCTAGATCGGAAGCCTCGGAATTCCAGACGACCGTCTTGGCTTTCGTGGCCGGTTCGAACAAGGGCACGTGAAGGAAAATGAGGGCCTTCCTGGCCTCTGCCTGCACCGTGGTGCAGACCAGCCGGGAGGAGCTGCTCCAGCTGTGCTCCGGACCCCAAACAAGATCTGACTGAGGTTGAGAATTCAGACTAGGTTTTTCGAGAAGCTGATAAGCAGTCAGCAATGAAGTCAGTTTGGGAGATGGTTCTCAGGGATTTGCCACTTGCAGCCACCCTGAATCTGCAAGGCACGTAAATGATGATTTATGCAACTTCGGTCCAGGAAATAGGAGTACGACCAAACGTCTCAAGCTCGAACCAGGCTCCCTCCACTTTGCACCTCAGCGTTCTGAAGCGCCTCAGCGGAATGCGGCGGCCCCTTAAGAGTATTCCGAAGTTTGTTGCCGCTCAAGTTGTTGTGGTTGTTGTTGTTGCTGCTGCTGCTGCTGCTTTTGCTTTTACTGTGGATCGCGGTTGCGGTTGCGGTTTCTGGTGTCGAATTTTTGTTGTTGCTGGTGGTGGTGGTGGTGGTGGTGGTGGTGGTGGTGGCGGCGGTGGCGTTGTTGGTGCTGGTGTTGGATCTGGTGCTGGTGCTGCTGTTGCTGTTGTTGCTGGTGCTGTTGTTGTCGCTGTTGTCGGTAGAGGTGGCCGTGGTGGTTGCGGGGATTAAGTACGCTCCTAAGCAAAAGGCTTGGAAAACATTTCCCTGAGGCACAGGCGGTCTCCAGCCAAGACAGCTGCTGCGGTGAAATTCCACCTTGAGGGCTTTGGGTTCCAGCGCCTTTACGTTTCGGCTTTAGCTTTAGAGTTTAGGGGTTCAGAACGGCTTCGTTTTGGGATTTAGGGTCTCTTAGAAGGTTCGGTTTAGAGTTCAAAGTTCTCTCGGGCAGCTGTGCATTCTTCGACAAATGCTCCATGAGCCTGTCATGGCACTGCCACTGCCACCTACCCGACATCTTGATCCCTGTTGGGGTGGAGCGGCAGCTCGGAGAACCAATGCAACACCGGCAACTCTGAAGCTTTTGCCCTAAACCCCGTGTCGATGTGAAGCCTCATCTTGACCGAGAGGACTTCTATCGTCTACAGTGGCTGCATCACCTAGTTCCACCTGCTGACACCAAGCGACCATTGTAGGGGACGAAGCGATGTTTTGAAGTTGGCAAGCCTTTGAACCAGTCCTTCGTACCGGTGAGGACATTCCTAGGTTCCGTACGCAAAATGCCAAGAGCTGCCGACAGCAAACACTGCAACACTGCATTCAGGATGTGAATGTTGAACCCGGAGGCACCTCACTTGCACTGTTGCACTCATGAATGGTTGCGCCCTTCCTCCACAACTCGCCCCCCCCCCCCCCCCCCCCTGCCCCCCCCCCCCCCGAGAACGCACAGCACAACCATGAATGGGGGTTTAGGGCTGATGCTGCATCATGGAAGTTCTGTGTATGGTTGCAGAAGCGACTGCAAGGCTGACTTTGGGCAATCGCAGTGACTGGCAAGCATTGCAGCGAGAAGCTGCACTACTACAGTGTTATAGGAATTCGACAACCTTATTCTGCATGGTTTTTGGACAGGTCTCGGATTGTGCTGGCGCATCATCTCTGCCGCCTCGAGAAAGCCCGAGTCATCTTGCGATAGCCCGATGAGCCTTACGTCTTTGGATTTTGGGATGCTGGAGTCCTTGATCTGACATATGGGGTGGAATGAAAGGTGTAGGACGTAGGACTTGTAGTTTGGAGGGTGGAGTTCGCGACTAGACAGCCAAAAAGCCGCACTCACAAGCAGTACGCTTCCCTGCTCGAGCAGCCGACGGCTCTCGATCCACCCTGGTGGCCCTAGTGCGACTGACAGCTCGTGAAAGCTCGACGATGCTGCATCCAGGCCGCGCAATCTCGTAGGGATCAAGAAAGATGGCTTCCCAGCGGTCACCAAGATGCGCCTTACTCTGGATCTCGGCAATGTTGGCTCTACTGTACAATCCAAGCCTTGAAACCCCAAAGCCCAAACCCCTATCCCAAGGCCTAAATCCCAAATGCTGGAGCTCACGCATACGGAGGTGACAGAACTTTGAGACTTGAGCAGCACCGATAGTGCAAATTGCCACATCACTCTCTTAGAAGCGATTCTGAGGTTGTACGGCGTACAGTATCCAATGATTCAATGACTGGACAGGGCCCGCGGTCGTGCCGCTGCTCCAAATTGTAACAGTTTAACCCTTTACCCTAAGCCTGTCCACTTCTGGCAAGAGGCCGAGTAGTACGTCAATCCTGGGCAAGACATTGGAGTGTCGTGATGCCAAAGCCCTCAACCAGATGTTTTGCATCTTGACCGAACCCTACTTCGGGCCAGGCATCCGTCCGGGCCGAAACAGCGCAGACCCGAGGCAGTCATGGAGTCCCGCTTCACCTGGGGAAGTTTCTTCGCATTTTCGATTGCTGAGGTTTTGTGTTTGGGGTTTCAGCAATCGAGCAGATAATCAAAAAATCAAAACTATCTGAAGTTCATCTCCAAAACGAGCCATGAGCAGTGATATTGGGATCCCCAGCAATTCCAGGGATGAGGGACAAGGAATGTCAGTACATCGATTTTCCAAGGTTCATATGATTCGAAGCCGTCCTTGCAACAGCTACCTGGAAGGAGACTCCTAAAGGTCCCAAGTTCAAGAAGCGCAACACCCGAGACTTCTCCAAAGAGGCTTCGGCCACCAAGCACTAACAGCCCCTAAAGCCACCTAAATACCAAACCCTAGAACCTGCAAGGTAAAACATCAAACATAAGTTGCACAAGAGCAATAGGTCACGTTGTAGAGCTCATGGTTGCCGATGAGATCAAATCGCTGTGCTGGGCTCCTGCTTGAAGTAGGGTTTTGGGGCTTTGGGTTTTGGGGTGTAGGACGGAGTTCTTCTTGAAGCTGTGAAGCAAACTTTTCTCTAACCGGTGTTTGCCAGTGTTCCAGAACAACAGCGGAACGAACCACCTTTGAAAAAGACGATGCCTCCTCGAGGAGCGCACTGTCGCGGACGAAAGGTTTCGAGTCTTGGGGTCTCAAGGGTTGTGCTTGGGCCTAGGCCTAGGCCGGGCAAGCTGGCAGTGCTTAGTTGCAGGCGCTCAGATGAGACTCATGGGTGCAATGCTAGGAAGCTGGTATTGGTCTCCACAACAAAGGTAATGATCCTGAGCAGTATTGCTCCCTCGTTAACTTCTGGTGTCTGTTCCATGAAGCAGTCTCGTAACCCAACCCTTTGTACTCCCAAAGTTGAGAAGGCGGGTCGGGCCTTGATAGTACATTGAGCACTGCAGCAAGGGCCGTTTCGCTAGCATTCATCGTTGCGTTGCAGCCATCGATGACATCGCCCAGCTGCACCACCTCAACTTCCCCAAAACCCGGCGCCGGCACACAGCAGAATCAATGTCCAACCTATCAGGTGCGACAGCCACGCACTAAGTCAAGAGCTGCATCCACGCCGACGGCCTTGCAAGAGCACAGCCATGTGCCACGTCCAGTCAGTCATCCGATGCCATGAACCCAACCCACCGGCTTTGGCCAAGAATCATTCCAGCACTCGACGGCATTCCGCGCAATATTCAGAGAGTTGCGGAAATGCCGCTGCTCACAGCCTGAAAAGTCAGTGCCATCTTCGCAATCTGCGTACCTGAGCTGCAGTAAGAGCTGGCGAACTCCGTCAATCTCTTCGAACTTTCGACTGGGTTTCGGATCTAGGAAGTGGTTCAAGTTCAAGGTTGGTTTAGGGTATCAGGCGCTGCTTCTCAGCCTTATGAAGGAAAAGCGCTTCGAGACTGTGCCGACCAAGCCGTGAGCCCGAAAGCCTGAACCACCAGAAACTCGAGACGAGGCGCTGTATGTCAGCGATGAGACCGAGTCGGAAGGGTTCTTGCATCGCCATGGTGCGTTCGAAGCACGGTTTACTGCAAAGAACCGCTCACTGAAACATAGATGTCTTGACAAAAAATAAGGTTCAAAAGGTCTGACATGTTTGAATTGAAGTCCGGACGATCCGAGCTGAGCGGTTGCGGCTGGAGCTCGACACAACCTAAGGATCCTCCGCGAACAGAAGGGCCCAATCCTAAACAGTTCCTAAACCCTAATCCCTAAACCTTAAAGCCTATCCATGCATGAATCTTCTTCTTTTGGCATAAAGGCAAGGTTGCAGGTCTTCCTGCTGCCACCTCCTTTCACGAGTTCTGCAAAGCTGCCGTATGATCTAGCTGTACCTTGCTACTCCAGTTAGGCTTGATACCGGTATTGTTGGTGAGAAGGACACTTGTGATCAAATTTGTAGTCATTCTCATGGCCTTCATCATCCGGGGAGCTGCGGGGCTGCTACTGTCTACGGTTGCTACATGTTACCACTCGCCGAGCTCACACCCTGGCCCGCTTTGCGAACCTCGGTCGGGCACCGAAGGGTGCTTTCGGGCTGAATAAGGAGTTGACCGTTGACCCCTGAGAGCAAGGCTCTGGTGCACCAGCTGAAGGCGGCGGTGGACGCTTCATGTTCCCAACCGCCTGGCACAAAAGGGTTTCGGGCTCAGGGGAATGAAGCTCCCAGTGATGGCCACCCATCTCCGGCAAATAGGCAGCGACATGCTCGTACATAGATACACGCACCAGACTCAGACCAGACCTTGCAAACCCAGGCGCTGGCATTGGTGACCTGACGCCGGCAGCTCACGGTATCACGGTCAAGATCACTGGGTTTCGGTTTGCGGGGCTCCGTGGTAGAGCCTGTTGAACTGTCTTGGGCTTCTCGGAGGCTTGGCTTCGGTTCAATATGTGGTGAGCAGATAAATTGGAAACGCTCAGTCACTACTGTGCCAATACCTCATGACATCACTCTACGCTATGGCAACACCACCGACAAAAAGCACAAACCGAAGTGCCCGGAACCCATCCTGAAACCTACACCATGTCACCCTGTTTTCACACTTGACATCACCTGACCCTGGAATCCATCTAGTCCACGTCGGATGCCTGCGCCTCTTGCTTCCTCAAGTTGCCTCAGCACGCTGGCTGCAGGGTTTTGGGAGGATCAGGTTTAGAGCCCGGTGAGGGTTCAGAAAGCTTAGGCTTTGGACGGGGTTGGGGTTCAGGGTTCAGGACGGAGCCCTGTGAGAGAATCATTAGGGTTCAGGGAGCATAAGATATTCAGCCTCACAGGTTGGGATGCAACGTAAGAGATTTGCCACAGTGGAAGCACGATTTGGGATGTGTGTATAGCTCTCTGAAAACAAACTGCTTTCACAGGTCGTCTTAAGTCCTAAGGAAACCATGGCAGTGGCATTTGCCATGGCTCGGCGTGTCCTGCTTTAGCGTTTGTTTTAAAGGTGGCTAAAGGCCAAAAGCACCGCGGTTTCAGTGTGCACAATGTGGTTGTGCAGTTGACGCCAAGTTTGTGATTTTGCAGTTGCTCTTGCCTGACTGAGGCTTTTGTGCTATGACGCGATGACCTACATCCGAAACCGGAAGGCCGCATCAGCAAAAACCCAAACTCCAACAAGTCTTGGAGATCAAAGCTGGGAGGCCTGTGAGCTCGTGGGCCGGTCGCATATTGCATCGTCGGCAGAGGAGCAAAGCGGAAAGAGAGACCCCGAAACAGAGCGAGATAAGAAAGGGTTCAATCATGTTCAAGCATAAGGCAAGATTGCGGCGCCGACATGGCAAGATGAGATCCTCCACTCCCCCTTGTGTGAAGCGGGCCGAACACACGACGGCCATGCAAGGGATAGCATTTTTAGGAGTCCCGAAGTTTGGGACAGCCGGCCGAAGGAACACCCGAAGCGACCTGCACAATGGGCCCGAGAGCCCTTCTGATGATAAATCAAAGGAAAAGGAAAATTTGATGTACATCATCAGGTAGATAGTAGTGAGCATATTCCTCTTTACACATAGATAGCGAAACAGACAGATAAACAGATGGATATATAGTCTATCTATCTACCTATCCATTAAACCTATCTATCTGCCTGTGTCCACATACATATGCAGATGCATGTACCTACATGTGTCAGAACTACTCATGCAGGGGGCAAAAGCAAGTCTTCTTCGGCGCTTCTGGCCCTCGTCCCTTGGACACTGGGGGCTCCTGCGCACAATGTGGACGGCCGAGCCGGGCGGCAACTCGTGCAAGGCCGACAGAGCCTCAAAGAGAGGGACACAAGGCTTCACGATGCTTCATGGCTAAGTTCAAGGCGCCTCTTTCCTTGGAGTTTACGGTTCAGGGAGTCCTCCGGTGTTTTGAGCTTTCGTGTTCATAGGCCTTCCGATCAAGGCCTTGAACTTCACGATTAGGGCCCGAAAATCAAGGGGTCGAAGTGCTGGGAGAACCTGTCTGAACAAGATCCTGCAATCCAGAACCTTGGAAGGCCAAGCATCGCAAAATCACACATCTGAAGCCCTCGATCCCAATCCCAACGGAGCGGAGGAGTCAGCTCCTCAATTGCAGCCGCAAAGCCTGCAGCCCTAAACCTTAAACTCCATCTCATACAAAGCCCAAACCTCATATTGAACTAAGCGAGCTAGAATCCCTTTTTCGAGCCTGAAGTAAACCGACACCTGCGAATAGCTGGCACAGCCTTCTCATCAAGGCTGGCAGAGACCATGCCGAGCTCCTCCCCAGTCTCTTGTGTCTCCCACGGGTGCTGAGATTCGAATTGCTAGCGACAGGGTGTTCCGGACATCTCTTTCGTTTGAATGGTTTCGCCGGTTTGAGATTTAGGCCTTGAGGGTGGAAGCCTTGGTCAGGAGGTTTGCAGTTCGGGATTCAGGTTCTCGGAGTCGGGATCCCGATCTGGGGTTAAAAGATGGTCCGCAATTACTTGTACGCACAGATTATATGTATACATGTACGTATGTAAACATGTATTGCATGCATTCTGTGTGCCTGTGCGTGCACTTGTCTCATCTCTCCTGTCCCACTGTCACGGCACGTTATCCTAGGCTGTAAACTTGTAGACCCTGTAGAGGTTTTCTCCTCTTCCAGCTCCAAGATATCTCCGTCCATCGGACTGGGAAGCTTCGGCTCTTCAGGGCGACGAGGCTTCGATGCTTGGAGGTTGCGGAGGTTCAGGTTTCGAGGCTTCGGCTTTCTGTTTGCTGAGGCCGTCCGACGGCCCGAGGTTGGGGCTAGGTAATTTCGGCTCGTGGGCCCCCAAGGCCTCTAAGTCGTGCATGTATACACACCCTCTGTCACACAAACACACACACACAGACAGACAGCTACACCTGTGCGCAAATACTACGCCTAAAGTCTGGAAGCGTACAGCTTTAGTAAGGGATGCCACCCAAAAAGGCATAAGGGTAGGGAGAACCAGTGCAAACCTTCCAAAGCCCCATCTAAAGCAGGCCGATGCAGGAATGCAAGGGTGCAAGATGAGTTGTGGACGGCGGCGGTGGCTGGCTGAGGTTCTCCAGCGGCGCCTTCGGGACTTCGAAAGAGTCAGAGCCCATCATCAAAGCTTTGCCTTTCTAGGGCGATTCCTTGGCATGGCCGGTTTCACTTCGTTCTCCACAGTAGGGAGATCATTTCGCATGACGCGCGCTGCGAAAGTAGTTCGCAAACCACAGGTGCCCCTTCCTGCATCGGCGGTCTTGATGCACCTGCCATGCTCAAGCTGGCATTCACTCTTGACTTCCCCACCGACTCTGGCTATACACATGCAAGAGGGTCCAACAAAATAAGCACGGAACTATTTGGGCAAAAGGGCGTGCCGGCAAGACCCGGAGGCTCGTGCTGGGCATTTCTGACTGCCTGGCTGAGATTGCAGATGTTGATGAGACAGCAACATGCGGATGCAAGCAGGACGGTCGTTAGTAACTTCTCTACCTACAAACAACAGGGTAATCAGATGACAACCAAACAGCATCCGGTATGTCGAAGCTTGACTAGGCCGTCAACGAGGATCTGCCACGCAAACCTCCCTCTGAAGTGCTTCAGGCTACATCTCCTGAGGTATACGCACCACAGTCGTAATTATCAAAATCATTTTACTAGCATGCACAATATGATAACACCCACAAGTCAGAGTTTCGGAAGATTGAAAACAAACTCTTGCTGCATCCGGTCGTGTAGAACCCGGCCTTCATGACATAAGCAGACGGATTGTTGACCTGTTCCACTTCAGGGCTTTTTCGCTCGTCAGAGTCAGAACAGTTAGGTCCGTAAAGACCGCAAACAACAGGGCGGGAGGCCTTGGATCTCTGATCTGACAGCTGCAGCACAATCTTGCGGGAAGCCTCCAATTCCGTCAACACAGGATTGGGAATGCGATGGCATAGAAGTTTGTGCCGCAGACTCGTCACCGTCTAGACAATTTAATTGCTGCTTTGTTGAAAGCTCGCTTTGGCCTCCACGCTTCCGTGCACCACTAGCGGTTCTTTCAGTCGAAGGTATGTGGCGAAGCTTCGAGATCAAGATGAGCACAACGTGCAGGAAGGTAAGGGCGGCACACTCGGTTAGACCAGGAAGTCTGAAAAACACGCCTGAAAACAACTCTGTCAGCAGTGTAAGGGTAGTGTGGTCGTTGCAGCTGTCGTCGTCGTAGCAGCAGCAGAAGCAGCAGTAGCAGTAGCAGGAGCAGGAGCAGTAGCAGCAGGAGCCGCAGCAGGAGCAGCAGGAGCAGGAGGAGCAGGAGCAGCAGGAGCTGCAGGAGGAGCGGAGGAGCAGGAGGAGGAGGAGCAGGAGGAGCAGGAGGATCAGGAGGAGCAGGAGGAAGCAGCAGTAGCAGCAGCAGCAGCAGTAGCAGTAGCAGTAGCAGTAGCAGTAGCACTAGCAGCAGCCGTAGCCGTAGCCGTTGCAGCAGCAGCAGGAGTAGTAGTAATAGTAGTAGTAGTAGTAGTAGTAGTAGTAGTAGTAGTAGTAGTAGTAGCAGTAGTAGTAGTAGTCGCAATAGCGGCAGAAGGAGGGTAGTAGTAGCAGCAGGTGTAGTCGTCGTAGTACTATTTGTACTGGTAATACTAGTTGTACCAGTAGTACTAGAAGTCCCAGTAGAACCAGAAGTACCGGTCCAGCAATGCTACTCGTAGTAATAAGAGTAGGAGCAGTAGGAGTAGTAGTAGTAGTAGTCGTCGTAGCAGCAGTAATAGTAGTAGCAGTAGTAGTAGCAGTAGTAGTAGTAGTAGTAGTAGTAGCAGTAGTGGCAGTAGTAGCAGTAGCAGTAGCAGTGGTAGCGGTAGTAGTGCTAGTAACACTATAGTGGAAGTAGTGGTAGCGTAGTAAGGAGTAGTAAATAGTAGCTAGTCGTGATAAGGAGTAGCAAGTTTTAGTAAGTAGTGGTAAGTAATAGCAAGTACTAGGAAGCAGTAGGAAGTAGAAGTAACTAACAGGAAGTAGAAGCAAGTCGTAGGAAGTAGTAGTATGTAGTATAGTCGATAGTATAGTATAGTATAGCCC